TTCATTTCCAATATATGCAAGGACTCCTCAGCAGGTTTAATTTAGATTGGTCATTATATTCTGTTCAGTCAATGTAATAACGTCTTAGCTGTATGTGATGCGCCATTTGAAAATTGGCATTGTTCGCTTGTTGGATATAAATTCCTTCAAGCAGCTAATTGTACTCAGTCCAGCCCTGATGATGCAGCGGTCTGTACAGAGAAATGCGTGGCATTAAACGACTTACCATCTGGAGCATTTACTGCCCCGAACCATGAATCTTTCAAACAGCCATGTATAATGAATTTATAGTTCTCAATTGACTCAGCGGAAGCGCACAACACCATTGCATCTAGAAGTGTAACGGGGCCATTGAAGCAGACCACAGCTTCATGGTATTTGAACACATGTAAGAACATCGGATCAGGATTATGACCGCATCCCTGGATTAGGCTGGAAAGTTGTGCGTTGTAATACAAATTAAATTTGCTATTCTCAATTGACAAATATATCGATTACATGATTCTGATGTTCCAGGATAGGCACCCACATCATAACGACTTATCTTATTTTCCCACCGATAACGCGCGCGTTATTTATACAGAAATGCCAGGTCTACGTAAAACGCTACGTGCGCGTTATGCAGTGAAAAAAAATTTTTTAAGTTATCTATGTACGCGGTAATTTTAAACTGCATTTATTGTGAAAATAAATTAGTCGTAAACCATATACTTACTGCAATATCAGTGGATATAGGGGTTAATATAACAACATAAGATAAAAATAAAATATAAAATAACATTTATTGTACATACGTATTACAATGAAGTCAATCGAAGCTATAAAAATCTTCATCTGAATCAATATAAAATGAATCAAGAACATATACAGTTTCTTCAGGTACGTCACTCAGTTCATTTTTTGAAATTAATCCTTCGTCATTATCTGTCTCTGGCGTTGCGGTATCTGGTATTAGGTGATAGCCTAATGTTTTTAAAAAACCATTTCTTACACAAGACACTGTAACACCTTGCGAACTTTCGACGATCCACCAGTATATTTTTTCTACTCTTTTAATCATTCCCGATTTACTGTAGTCTCACCCCCCTTCTCCCATCTGGAACGCAACCTTAAGTTAAAAGATTTATAAACGGATAAATCAAGCGGCTGAATCTTTTTATAATCCATCCGGAATAATTACCAATTTTGAATACTTGCCTACTACTCTTTTCTCATTATCAGTAATATGCGCACGGCAAGAGTCCAATATTA